ATGTGTTAAAGCTATCTTTTATGACAAGCCAGCAAGTATGAGAAGATGAAGCTTGCAAAAGCGAGCAAGCCACTTGGCTGTCAACTCGAGCCAGTCCAACGAATTCCATTTTCCGGGCGTTTTAAACTGGCTCCTAACGAAGAATTCATGGAGTGCAACTACGAGCGAGTGCAGTATTGGTAGGACCATACCACATGTTTCGTGTACATTACAGAAATCCGTTATTTACTTTGGTTTTTTGTTGAATTTGACTCATTCGAAGTGATTCCGCGCAATTCGAAATGCTATCATATCAGCTGGACCGCCAATTGTCCATGGTATATTGCGGATAAAATGTTCGCGGCCTAATATGTCCCAAAACAAGACTGGACCTTAACGTGATGAGGCGGTTCGTCCACGCTTTGACTTATTGGGGTATACTGTGTGATGCCCCCGGGCATCATGTGAGCTACTCCTACTAGGTTGGCCGATGGTTAGAGGTTAGACGAACCAAGTTACCTGGTCCTCCAGGTTCAGAGTTGGAAATGGAACAGTGCAAAGTTTTTATAAAAGCCGATAATTGCTGTCCCCGCTGCCAGGTCGGCCGGTGGATAAAAATAATGCACGCTAGTCTTATAATCCAAAATTCGCTGGTTCGAATCCAAGAAGGTGCACGCAACCGCGCAGTATACCCTGCTTACACGTGACCGTTACTTATCTCATGGCAGCGAAATGTCGGTACGGTATGTCGGCGTACCGCTGATGTTTTCTTCCAGCTGCTTGCTGGACAAGCTTTTGAGTTCAAAAGCTCGAGAACCCTAATCGTTCTCCTATCCAGTGTTGCTCGTCGTGGCATTATCTCAGCCCGCGTATAAGTCGGATTGTGTTCACAAAGTACAACCACATTGCATCGTACGTCGTGCAAATATATAACGGCGCCTTAGGTGCTACATACAGTAGGGCGGACTAGCGAAAACGTGCTACTGTTGGCGCCTTCCTTCTATTGTTTCCACCTGTTTCGCTTACTCCCATCCAAAGCACTACTACGATAATTGACAACTCCTGACCTAATTGAAGAAGCCGCGATGGCACTGCACGTATCTTTCCACATCATTTACCGAGAGCCTATCTTCAACAGCCTCTCATAAAGCCACGATGTCTTCCGTCCCTGGCGGCGTTCAACATTCGCACTCTAAGACAAATAGGTAAACAGTCTGAACTAGCACACACGTTGGACACCCTCGGTATTGATGTGTGTTGTGTGTCTGAAACTATGACCTATGTACCTCACGTGGTTGTTGAACTAAGCGCATTCAGGCTATCCTCTCGCTATTGGCTGTACGCATCCTGAGACGCTGACGCGGCAAACACTGGCTGGAGTGAGCATAGTTCTTAATTCCAGTATCTCAGCCTTAATGCATAATGCGATAGCCTCTGTTTGCAGCACTGCAACTCGTCACCCCACCAGTCACCGACAATCCGATAGGTCGGTGAAGCTATTGGAATACAAAACTAAACTCGAAACTGGCGCTGAGCATAGTGTAAAAAGACGGATTGTTTGGCAAACAGTAAAACGGGGGCAGCGTGTTGAGAACTATACTTGTTGGACCAGTAGGGCTCAAGAAATAAACTAGGCTGCTGCAGTAGGCAATTATCATGAGTTCTTTCAGCTGATCTGCGCCACTTTTCCCAAGAAGCCGTGCCTCTTTGATACAATCAGTGATAGTATGTTCGCCCTAATTTTGCAATAAGAAATGCCGTCTGGATGGTTGAATACAGCGCTTTCAAGAGAACCACGGTCCATGGCCACTAAGTTTCTTCTTGCCAATGTGGTGCAGGCTGATTCATGCTGGATTAGTTATGCAGTGGTCTGAAAGGTGATCACAGCCCTTAATCGTTTTCAAGCTGCTGCTGCTCGTACTCTTTCTTATCATCACTACTAAGGTTGTTGTTGAGCTTGTCTGCACGGAATTATCACAGGTGTTCGAACAGGTCTGCAAGAAAGAAGCGTTCTGTTATAGACCCCCTTTTGGTTGGACGCAGTCAAGTGAAAAGTTCTCCTCGGGTCGTTCTAACGCGTCGAGTACACGATTACGCAATTCTGGCCAATCACGAGATAAAGCTAGTACAAAACCTGGCCACCGTAAAGACGAGGAGGGAACTCTGCCAATTGCGTAACGTACGCAATTCGGGACGACGGTGACCCTTACGATCGCACCACGACCAGAGAGAGAGCGAGAGAGAGATAGAAAGACAGGTATTACACGAAGTATTTTTACTGCCTCCGCGGAACCCGATACAGGCAGGGACACCCTTCGAGTTACAGCACAAGTTACTCAACATGCCGGGCGTACGCTTCGTCGGGACGAGTTTGTTCACGTACCTCCGCTAAGTCGTGGTCTGTAGGTGGTATAACCATTTACTAGCGCACGCGAACATTGGAGACCGTGTCGCGGGTGAGTATGCTTGCAGAGGCCCTTGCTTTTCCCGCAGCACTGTCCCAGCTAACTAGAGTCGTTCGATTATAGTGGCAATGTACAAAATGTGCAACTGCACCGAGTGTGTTAACCACAGGGTTATTAATTGGAGGGTCACTTTTGAACTACACGATATGTGATTGGATTGCGACGCGCAATCTCAATGTGGACAGCGATTCACATTAGTCCCTGCGATCACTGGGACAGTAGTCAACGCAAATGGCAATTAGGTGCTGCCGCCCAAATTACTGCACAACCACGACGAGTTTCCATATCATTTCATCTCATCAAGTGGAGATAGCAGGCCTCGAACCCGCGACCATTGGAATAGTAGCCGAAACTTCTATCGCTTTGGCGACCGGGTCACGGCGATCACAGTTTGACGCGTCGTAATCTAATCACACAACGTGTAATCCAAACTTCATCCTCAAATCAGTCACTTACCATTGTACCAAGCGTTGCCGGCCTTGACCCCTTACCCAAAGGAATTGAGCTTTCGGATACTATTCCAGTGGTCGCGGGTTCGAGTCCTGTTTATCTCCACCTGATGAGATGAAATAACATCGAAACGCGTCGTGGTTGTGTAGTCTTTTCAGGCGAGCAACACCCAATTTCCGTAGGGGTATTAGCCTAGCGTCAGTAGTGACGCAACTGTTAGCATCTTTTGTCGTCCGTTGAATTACTGCGGAACGCGAATCCTGGATTAGGGACGAGCAGCCAGGTTTCCGTTTAAGATGGGGCTTTCAGACCATATATCCACTCTGCGGCAGGTGCTAGAGTAACACTACAAGTTTGCAGACCGAGAATAGCTGTGTTACCTGACTTCTAGAGTGCTTACAACTCAGTCGATCGAATCATACTACTTTAGACACTCGTGAAATATATGAACATTTTACGTCCGAACACCACAGACCGCGTTAGGGTCCACGTCGACTTGCCGGATGTCTCCCTGACAAAGTGTGATGTTCGTTTGGTTTGTCCACTTTTTTCATTATTGTTCAATTTTAGCATAAACATCATAAAGTTTTCCCTTTCGGGATCTGATGATGCAGGTGTTGAGGTGCTGCGTCTTGGAAAGCTAGTTGCTTTTGCTTATGTGGACGTCATTGTCTTTCTGTCTAACGATGTTAGGCTAGCTCAGTTAACTCTGAATAATCTAGTTGAACTGATCCCATCCTACATAATGCGTCTTACACACCCAGTGTAAAGTCATGTTGTAGGATCGCCAGCTGCTTGATGATTCCTTGACCATAGCGAGGAACTCGAGGTAGTTGGTCACTTCAAGTACATTGACAGCGGAATCATCAGCGATGGGCTTGTGCATGTTATAGTTCCCGTATTACAAACGCTAGAACTGTCTTCAGAATTGCGGAATATGTCTGGAACCGACTGGGAAATCATGATTGCGGATGTTTGGAATACAACCCTATTTAATGTAAATTTGTATTGCGACTACTTTTCCCTGTTGACGCAATAGTCGCCAGCTTTTGTTTACGATATCTGTGACGTCAGAAGGGAGTTTGCCTCTATCTGAATGACTGAGAGCGTTTGCAAGGCCACCTTGAAGGCCGTCCTGCCCTATAGCCACGAAGCTTGTCCACTTTGGTCTGAGGATCTCTCCCCACTTCAACTCTTTGAACTTCACCGCCTACGGGATACGGTTGATGTCGGACGGTACCAGATTGATCGCCATGATGATGTGCATGTGGGCATTAACATTCACTCTAGTTCCTTAGAACATCATCTAGCACTGGATAAGTTGCTTTAGCCTTGGTACATATTACGGATGCCGAGTCACCGTTGATCGAGGCGATCCCATTTTGTTCGCCAGATGTAGGTTGGTGCAAGATTCGAAGTGGGAAAAAGGGGACAGCCGAGGAAAAGAAATCACAGACTGCAATACTGGATGCTGTTGGTCCATCCCACCATGTAGACTGAAGCCTTCTAGACCAATCTAGTGCTTAGCTCAACATATCACAGGGCATGGCCAGCAGTTGATGGGAGTGAGCCGTTTGTTATCGTCACCTAGTCAGACTTCCTGTTTAAAGTGTGTTTAGTGCTGACTTATAAGCGGGGTAATGGCTAATTAGGATGCGGAACAGTGAATGCCGCTAGGAAGCTGTCTCGATAATGCCACCTTATATTTGCACGATGGCCAGCTGTTGGTGACGGTATGTTGCTAACGTAAGGTGTAGGCGCTTGGGCCTTGAACGTGTGATTAGCGTATTCAGGTCTTAAGCAAGGTACCCCTTCTTCTTTTTGTGCTTTATTCCCTAGGTCATTGTTTTCCTACAGCACCGAAGCATCAGTTCACGTGGCGGATTTATTTTTGGTGCTGTTGTTATTTTTATTTTTCTTGCTTGGTCTACAATTTCAGGTCTGCTATTAGCCCGCTCGGAACAAATTACCCCTAATACACGAAATTCCAACCAGCATTTGCTGAGCTGTTGCATGTTTGTCTTTCTTATACTGATGTTGTAGCAATATCTGCCATCATATATTCCTTCCTTCCTTTGCTTTTGCTCTCTCTCATTTATTTCGTAGGCCATCTACCTTGGGCCATTCCAACGTTCCAGTGGATTTTCTTTCTGGAAGCACAACGCTTCCAGATCGTCGCAAACCCATCATGGACTTACATAATGAAAATCACGTAGAAGTGAAGGAGGCTCCACCGCTGGCCAATCTTCCTGACGATCCCACACTAACTGGTAAAATTTATTTGTGGCGTTCTGTGTGCCTTGTTGTCTGCATCTAAACGAATATCTGCTTCTGCATAACACTGCTAGCTAACTGCGATGTTTTGACTCGTACGACTTTTAACATGCTGTTTTTAAACACAGATGCGATGCAATCTACTTCGCTCTGTCTTGGAAAAGGTGTTGTATTTTATAACTTTGCTTAATGCAATAAGAATGGAGGTAAGCCTGCTGTTTGATTTATTGGTACTTGGTCGCAGGTCTTCAGAAAAATTACTACCAAAATGCACAGCTTTGTTTGGACCAATTTCTGCCATAGACGGCCAATTATCAGGACCACTCGGTTCAGCTTGTCTGTAATCTCAATGTCAGTATATATCACTGAGTTCAATTGCTATCATCTAAGCGGCTATAGTTCCTTACTACCAACTGTTTCCATCATGTGATTGAAAGAAATCTGACAGTGCTACTTGATTATTATGTGCTTTGTAAGGTCAGCTGCAAAAAACATTCGAGAGCCAAACTTGGGATGAGACGGATACCATTTCATGCTTATCATTAAACAGGCTTTGAACATTCACGTTGTACATCACTACCACCAATTAGAGAAACCAAATCCATTTTGCTCATGCACTTTGAAGTGAGCGCTTTTGCTTTTTATGTTACTTTTTAATCCCACCAAAAACCTTCTACTCGTCGGTCGTCCGTCCAATCGAAACAGTGTCAGGGTTTAAACACTTCTGGGTGAACTTTATATTTAACTCGAGCTTCTTATTGTTAGGCCTCATTAGATAGGTAAATTAACCATATATATACTGAGTCGACTCATAGTGCCTTACTGCCTGCTTAATCTAATTATGAAGTGTCGCACCTATAGCGGACGAGCTGTTCAGTAGAAATCCGTGAGAATATTTGCAGCTCGGGATGCGGATGAGGGTATGCGGGTGTTCTCTGAGCTGGCTGATTTGGCTGCAAACGTTTCATCGTCAGGCTAGACGACATCATCAGTGCGATTTATGCGGGTCACTTACAGATCCAACTGACTATTGATCACTTGCTTGGAACGTCAGGAGTCGATTGGTCCACGTGAGCTGACCGTGTAGTCAGCTCCCTCGTACTGTTGGCTAGAGTCCGCCTCAATGAGGTTCCTTCGTCCTGTTGATCTGGGGCGGACTATTCTTTTGACCCTCAGTGTTTCATAGGCAGTGTCTAGATCTAAGTGTCTGTTGATCGAGTTCTTCCCCGAGTACCAAGCCTCGATGAACTCGCGTGCTTTTCGACTTTTTGACCTGCCTATGATCCTGACATTCTCCAAATCAAATTGATGATTCTCGGCGTCCATATGTACTGACATCAGGGAGTTCTAGTCATATCGGCGGATGTCTAGGCTATGCTCGTGTAGCCTAGTGCCGAGCTTTCTTCCTGTCTGGCCCACATAGTACTTGTTACAGTTTTTCCAGTGGATTTTGTAAATCACAACACTTGTTTCTTCTTTTCCAAGCCGGTCCTTACCATTGAAGAGGTTGTCTCTGATGGTTTCTGTCGGCTAGTGAGCAACTCTGATTCCGAAAGGTCGTAGCAGTCTCGCCGCCATCTCAGAGACGCCGTTGATGTATGGTAGAGTGATTGTCCTTTTATCCGTTTCTGATGTTTGTTCTTGTGTCGGTCGTTTTATTGGTGTTAAACAACGTAGAATGAAATTCCTAAGATACCCATTCCGTGTAAACATTTCGAACAGATGATCTTCCTCCGCTTTTCTCAGCTGTGGGGTGCTGCAATGGGTTTGAGCTCTTTTAAATAGAGTTTTTACGCAGCTGCGCTTGTAGACTGTGGAATGATTGCTGCGATAATTCAAGATTTGGTCTGTATGCGTCGCTTTCCGATAAACTGTTGTCTCCAGTTGTCCAGCAGCATGTCTTTTCACTAAAACATCCAAGAATGGTAGCTGACAATTGTTCTCCTCTTCTTTAGTGAAACGGATACCAGCAAACGTGTTGTTTGTTAGCTGATGTGTTTCTTCCACTTTTGAGCGCTTTAGGATGACAAAAGTATCGTCCACGTAGCGTAGCCTTAGTTTAGGTTTTGCCACTGGGAGTGCGGTTTCTTCAGTGATACGTGCAACTTTCGGACCTACGACTTACAAGCACAATTCGGCGCTTCCGTCCTTCTAAACACTACCAATAATCGAGTCGTACATAAGTCCGCTTTCTTTCCGACGTGATACGATCTCTTTTGCCAGTTAACCCTGGTATCCGGAAATTGTTGGTAGTCTTGCTTTTGCTGTTCAAGTCCGAGACGAAAGGGACCATTTCACCGTATTAATCTCTGTAACAATCAGCGCACTAGCTCAAATGCCACTCCGGAGACGGAACCTCGGAGGTTGTTTGCAAATTGTGTGTTTGTGTATTCTCACAAGAGCCCTCACTCACACCAGGTAGATAAAACGACCGTGATCCGGGACAATTCGCTGTACCAGATATTCCTATTTGTTTTGAGCAAAATGTGCAATCATCAGTAGAAAATACGGCATTTATGGCACCTGTTGCTGCAGCTTTCGAACTACATAAGTACTCGAGAAAGCACTGGGCACTTATGTACCCAAGTACTTACATAAATTTACACTCATCAAATGCTCGTTTAAAGTGCTTATAAAACAGAAACACATTGAGCTTCCTTATCGAGTCCCAGTACTTTCACCGACGGTGGGGCATGTGCGGCGGACTGCTATCATATAAGCTGTATTCGGTATATGTGATGTAATCAAGCCATTAGCTGCTTTCTACCCTTATTAACAAAATCTAAACTGCAAATTACTTTCCAAAGCTGCGAATAAGTAGGTTAACAGCATCATGCGCGGGAAACCGAATCCATTTGGGCAACTGAGTCGTGTCTCCATAACTGTTGACACGGATCCTGTACATTTACGCAGTTAGAAACAATAGTTGAATCCAAGTTTATTCAGGCTAATCAAAATCCTTGACCTGGTGACAAACTAATCTAAAGGAAAAGGTCGAAATCTCTTACCGCGGAAATTTGGTTGCGAAAAAGTTCCATTTGCGACCGACAGTTCTGATACTGAAACAATGCACCATGACTATATTCGGTTAAGAAGCACTGCTTTACAAGCCCTGTTGGGTGTTCTGGTTGGTTACCGAAACTAAACTTAATGAAAAAATGCAACTGGTACTTTTAATGTCGAAGGAATAGACTTTTCGTTTTTAATGTCGTAGCCGTGCAATCCGCGCAGGTTCACATCTCCAGTAAGTAACAAATAATAAGTCCGATGTGTTTCATTGGAATAGAATGAGAGTACTAAGTGGCAATATATGATTAGCTTTATGCGTACTCCACCTAACTTTCAAATATGGCTAGTGTAGGTGCAGAAACGATCGATTCAAGAGGAATGTTTCAGGAGGGACACACGCAGAAACCTGGTTTTGAGCTAGTTAGCACTGAGAGAACTGCACCAACGTTTCCTTCAGTTATCTTGCTGCTGCCGCTGCCAGTGCTTCTGCGCGAATGATGTCGATACCCGAGGAACAGTGGTTGCGCAAAGACGTCGGCTTCTGCAATACAGCTTTAACAGTACAAGATGTGTAGGTGAGTCCTGGTGGTGTGGCAGCAAATGCTGCAAGATCGCTTGATGGTAATACGCTCTGAAATGAAAAACCATGTTGCGTCCGCAACGTGCTGGATGTTTCTGTAGCCATTCTTGTTGGCCCATCAACTGTCCGGAGCGGGAGGATTCTCTGCCTCACCATATGAAGTCCATTGACATGCTTGAACACCAGTTCGTCGCTAGCGATAAAAGTTTTCGCCATGTTCCGTTGATCTGCGGCTTTGTCTTATCTGAGCTGTTGAGTGCCGTCCTCGCGCTGGGTTACGTGCTTGTTCCAAGTATCTGGCGTTGGAGATGATCTACGCTTTTGCCATACTGCGTTGCGTACTACAATCCAATTTCGAGTTCTGCTCCTTGCGAAGGGGACTAGGACTTGCTTTGTAATACTCACCATAGCGTTGTTATCTGAAACTGTGAGCTGATTGATGTTGTGTAATTTTCCCCGTTTGGTCGCTTGCGCCCACCCGATAGACGAGCGAAGTGAGTAGAAAGTTCAAGTGAGGTGGACTTTCGGACGATGTGGCTGCTCTGGTCGGTGTGATGTGTCCCAAATTGTGATGATTGGCGGTTGGCAAGTAGCAAAGTATTTGGATATGCGAGGCGGTTACTGTAAGTGGCATTGAAGGAGAGCGATTTTTGGTTGACTTGATCGCCTCAGGAAAGATCTTTAGTACGAGTGTAACAACTCACAAAATGCTTGTAACTGGAGCATTGCACTCTTGAGCTTTCGCCACACAAAATCCATCACAAACACAGTTATTAATTGGACGTTTGAATGATAAGAATAACCCGAAACCATGTAAATGTGATTAATCTGAGTCGAACGAATGTAAGCGCAGTGGGGGGCAGCACGTTGGTGAGGAATGGTCCCCAGAAAGGCAACAGGGTTGATTCGCTGCGACCGCTTTACCCTTCGCTGTGTTGATAGACAATCAGATCTCCATTCACAATGCTTGCTGATGTAGTAAGGTTACATCAGTCTTGTGTTTATTCTTCGCTTTTTGACCGTCTGTATTGTAATATAACGCTCCCTCAAAACTTGGTGCTCCCTTTGTGCTTTATTTTTCATCTAGGTGTATTGCCAATTTCCGTCTCCGAACAGCCTTTGACAGAAGAATGCGCTTTGCCCACACAAGCGGAGAGGGAAGAGATACGGTAGGGAAATGCATCGAAATGCGGCTTTATATTCAAGGATTATCTCAACTGTGTCATGATGTACAAAATATTCTACTATATGGTCACATATCAGTGTTAAATCCATATAACTCTTTGCTCACAGGGGATTGTTCATTTGTAGAACTGAAACAGAGAAGGACGGAGCAACACTCCCACAGTTACACAAAGAGGACGGTGAACCTGTCCAAGAAACCAAGTACGATACGATTCCTCCCTTCGAAGATTTCGTGACTGATTCGCAAGACACTGTGGTGAGGGGTATTTTCATAGCTACTCCTTATTGAATGGGCATCAGCCCGGTGTTTGGTTATCGCAGCCACCATTAATTAGTATTCCACTCCATCTTCTTTGAGCCATCTCTTTCTGACTCATGATCTGGCGGATTCTCGAGGTTACAGAGATCAGCCTGAAGCATGCACTTAGACCACGTACAGTCAAGCTACTGATTAGAGGTGAAATTTAGCTCTGTTGGTACAGTGGTGATGCCAATTTGGCAACTTTTCCAACGAGTTCACTGAGTTACTTTTTGTAGTTGCAGTCAGTTACTAGTTTAATGCTACTGTTCTACCTCCTGAGCTATACATGCAACATTTGATGAACCAGAGATGTATCTGAATTCTATAATCTTGCCTAAAACGCATTATTAGGCCTGTTTGTAAGCGCTACATCTTTAACTTAAGAATTTGTCATAAGCCGTCACCGTTGACGACATGGTTGTGGGATGCACTGGTTGCGACACGAATGTGCCATTTATTGCGAGCACATAACTCACAGTTCCCTGTTAGCTGTACGAAAAATACCATCGAGCGTTTGTCTCTCTTTATCACTATCACTAAAAACAGGGCCTTGAAAATATCTAGGTCCCACAAGAAACAAAATCCGTAAACTCATTGCTGCCACCAAACAGGCGGCCGGGATCCCAATTCCAACTCAGTTCCTCTAAGTCCATCACTGGTATGAAGTTCGTAGTTTTAAGATTCTCTGTGGATTTTTATATCAGTTTAATCGTCCTAACAAGTGCCATTATAATATAGCTGATGAGAGTCTATGTGCAGACGAGACAGCGCCAACGTAATTTACTCCAGCTCACCCTTTGTACCTATTAGATGTGTCCGTCTAACATGGAATTTCATAGGCCACCTGCTATTTATAGCTGCTCGTCAAGGTGAGCGCATGAACACAGACATCAATATATTTGTCAAGCTTCATTTTGCTGTCGTTATCTCACGTTTTTGGATCTCTAATACCCATTGGTTTGAACGCAATATACACGTAGAAATAGTCGTTTTCTTCTTGGGTATTGAAGTCCCTGCCATGATCTGGATTGTGACGCGCCATCTCGCTTGAGGACATAGCTCACTTTGAAACAACTCGTCTCCTTATTCATCCATGCACTCATAATGTTATTTGTGTATGTATCCCTCTCTCTCACTCAGATTGAGAAAACCGTTGAACCCGGGGAATCCGCTATGTTGCAACAACCCGTATTCGAACAAGCGTTGTCAGCCCTCGATTGCGCAATAAATGAGCATGCCTGCGATCTAGGTAGGGAGCACAGTATGAGGACACCGGAAAATGTGAGTAATGAGGTAATCCAGAATGGATGCGAAACTGTTCATCAGAATGGTCCAGTACAACAAAGACCTGCGTTTGAGCAAAGCGAGCAAGTAGACTTGAAGGTGATCGTGCAAGCAAGCGACTCCAAGGAGAGGCAGAATGTGAATGCTGCGTGTGTAACTGCACAGGTTACGGCGACGGTCGTGGTCATGATGATGCTCGTCGGAATGCTTGTTGCTCTTGAAAGCACTCCGATTGCCGAGTCATCAATGCTGCGCTTCATAAGAGGCAATCCTCTCATCACCGGTGTGCGTTCATACATATATGGACCAGTGCGCAATTTGATTGTATCTGGTTTGTCTCTTCTATGGTCTTGAACCCATTGAGAATGCGTACAACTTACCTACCACCTCCGAGTAGTGCACACATTTTCGACAGTCGGTACATTTTGCCGTTGTTAACAACATACACAACAGTCAAGAGTAGGCAATGCAAACATTCCGCACTCCCCCCCCCCACTTTGTACTATGTTTCTGCTTCACCCCATCCACCATCAATCTTCTGTATAGCCGCACTGGCCAAAGACTGATGGATAATCTTATTCGCCAAAATTTAGTGAAGCGCCAACTCCCATCGAACTGTTCGAACCGGTGCATATGTCACTCTCTATCCATCCTCGTAATCTTGTGTACTCAGAAAGAAGTACTAGTTACTGTGCTCGCATCCTACCTAAGTACTCTGTGCGAACATGACTTTTGTCTATCAACCTTTAACTGGACGACGTACTTTTAGCTTCTAGGACATCACCGGCTTTTGGTTGTGTTGAGCCACATTGTCTAATGAGCTGTTTATGGTTCATGCCTTCTGTAACTTCTACAAAAGTAGCCCCGTTTGTTTCCATACCACTACATTGGCAAGCAATTGACATCTGTCTGTGGTTCTTACTGAAGCTGCGATAAACATTTTCTGGCTGTTTCATTTCGATTTCATTTCATTACCATATATTTCATTATTTTGTCTTTTAACTACAGCACTCCTTGCGCTATTTTTTCGTACTGGTTTGTCTCGGTACCACAAGATAATTTCTACTTGTTCCTCTTTATTTCATCTTTTTTCGCATTATTAATCATACACTCGCTGTCCGTAAACACCTCCCATCATTTCTTTTAAGCTATTGGGTTCCGGGTTTTCTTGAACCAGGAGACTGCGTGCGCAACTTCGTACGTCTCCACTTTTGCGCGTCATACACTGCATACGTAAAACATTTTACTTCCCTTGTTTTGGTGTAGTGAGACAAATTCTCCTATCGCTTTCTCTCTCATGACTTCCTACAACCATAGCCGTATGAGAGGTCGAACCCAAATTTACATTACTCATAGACGCATAACAAATTTTACATCTCATCACTTTAGCTTTACATTGAAACATTAGAGATTGCTATCCACTTCCTAGACGACCACGAGGTCCATTTTAGCACTATTCTCCACCTACCAAACAACGTAGATATATGTATAGCATGACAGTGAAATACAACGGTCACCATCGACAAATCGGCAGCTTCACCGATTAGTTTTGCCTACGACCTATCACCGGGTCGATTAAATTCACCTCTGGTTGCATAAAAAGAACTAAGTGCAGTGCATACACAAACAGTGGCTTCCGTAGTTTCATTGATTAGCCGGGCGAACTCGATTTGGGCAATATTTTTAAGTATGAACAAAGCTGTCCAGATCAAATATACACTGTATATCACTTTCGCGAAATAAATCCCCTGCTTGTTAACTAAATTTGGATGGAAACATGCGGTACGAACCGATGGTACTAACTCACCCAGCTACTTCTGTAGCTGGGTGAACCAGTGCAGAATCATGGTCCATGTTGAACACATCATAAGCAGCAGCAAGTTATGATAAAGCCATTGTAGTATCATTGGTGATCCACTACTAATGACAGATATGTGACTCAGATTTAGCTTGTTTCCAAATCAGGGCAGGCGTACCGACAAGCGGGACGAGTCAGAGATGATGCGAGTTACTTTAAGAGATGAGTCCCAATCGTAATGTTCTACTGGTAAGGGAGCTACCCTCTTCCCTGCATGCCGGTGACGTGCAAGTCAGTGGATAGTGAGCGGCGCTGTCACACCTAGTAGCTCAGTCACGACGGTCGTTGCCGCCACCCGTGGCTCAGTGGTTTCAACAACAAACTGACAACGGCCGAGTAGCAAGCTCAAATCCTGTAAGGGTAAGCTGGATTGCGCACTGCTGACAATGCCCGAAAAGCTAAAACGGCCGTACAGTGTTTTTCTGGGCGCGTGATGGTTTTCCGACTGAGTCTAGAGGTGATAACATTCAACTCCCCTACTACTCCCTTTCTGTTCAACAATCACTCTGGAAACGGAACGCGACTGTTTACGTTTGCATTCTAATAATGCTACCTACCATCTCACTCTACTCTATTCTAAACCTAAAATAACTCACTGCTGTACATGCAATCGAAATGGCAAGTACGATGCACCGGATGAGCTGACACCGGCCGACAGACAGACAACCAACCTAATTCGCCCGCTGGTGACCGGGCGAGCGAAACCACACCTACACTCTCTGATGGCGTGTCACAGTGTAAAGTGGGCGGTTGAGATGCTCGCCCACATGCCTGGGCAAACGTGGAAATTATCGGTGGCCAAGGCTCCTTATTAGCAAGTAGGTATGGAAGTTCGGGATGGGAGGGACTATAGTGGGCGATCAATAAACCGGTTTACATTGTCCAACTCAGAGCAGCCGCCAACTCTTAAGGCGTTTTAGTTTGAAAACTTTCGTGTGCTCCTAGATTTCCTTCCCACAAATACACATTGTTAACGAGCACCCCAAGGGCACAGTACGGATATTCTGTTGGGTGTCTACATATTATTGATTGAACCTAGGTAGGAACCTAGTACCCAGCAGCTTTACAACCTCCGCCTAATGCTGTCAACTGCGGGGCAAAAATGTTACTTCTGTTCTCACCTAACCGATACATTTCACAATGTGGCTAGTCGCGTTACCTTAACACTGCCAACGTCCGCATCCTGTCGTTATTTTAAATGGTCAGAAGTTGGTGCAAAATATAAATTGGATTATGGAAATAATTTGGTTTTGCTCACCCCAACACTGGAACCCCACGACCGCGATTTCGTCCTGGTTTAGACGCCTCATGTGGAGATAGCCTGAGCTGAGAAGGAAATCAGAGCCTAGTGGTTCACGGCTGACGCCATAAAAACTATGCCACTGAGATGCGCGAGCAACGCTTCGTACAGCAGAAATGAATTCAAAGTTCGACTTAGAGAATCCACTGTGTGGTTGAGCTGAATTTGTTTATGTTTACTGTTAAAGATGGTCTAAGGTGATGAGTCGAACTGTGCTACAGGGTGTTCTAATTAAGGGCCGTAGTAATATGAAAAACGAAAATGAACAGGGTTCTGTTACCACTGTTTGGTAACTGTTCTCGTGGTGTTATGAACAATGAACAGTGATTTATAACGGGTAAAAAAGCAGGTGCTTGACATGTCCCGTAGGGTGTTTAGCTTGACAAAAAAAGATAGCGAAGGGATAATGGAGTCGTCAGTTCGGGCGCTTACAGATGTAACTGCACTGTCGTATGAAGGGAGTTTGAAATGGGAATGTACGCACACAAAGCAATAAGGGGAGTGGTTATTGTTCACATCATAGGCGAGAAAAATAAAAAAGGTAGCAAGGACAACGCTTACTCGTGTGCAACTATCTTAGGTCGACAGGATATAGAAATCCAGTTTCTATAGTAGTAGTGTTTATCAAATTTTGTGCAAGGGGTTTGGAGTGACTCATTCTCGAGTAGGGTTTAAACACTATCCACTGTCTGTTGTGCATTAGTGCCAGCATCTGGTGGTCATGAGCTATAGCACGTAGTGTAAATGTGACAGAGTATCGTCAGGGCGTTTTTTGAAAAGTGATAGGGTGGGTGCATTAATTACATGTTCCGGGAGGGCGTTCCAAGGCTGTGACACTCGAAGGGAGAAATAGTTTCGCCGACATTCCAGTCGGCTGTACTGCGTGACTAACTTAAACTGGTAACCTCTTAGCGGGGTGTTTTGACTGAGTATTAGAAGGGAATGACATGGTTGGTTGGGGTTTCTCAGGATCTGGTACACCATTATGAGATCGCCCCTTAGACGGCGATAACGTCCACTGTATATTTTGTGGGTCTTCAGCCTGAGTGGGTAGGGGAGGCTGGTCAAACCCCTGACACTCTTCGTTGCCCTATGTTGTGCAGTATCGAGCGCGGTGAGATGGTGCTTGAGCCAGGGTCGCCACGCTTGAATAGCGTATTCCGCGTGCGGCCTCACGTACGCACTAAGCATTTTTGGAAAGATCGAAAGGTCAAACTTCCCGAAGGCTCTGCGAAGAAGTCCGAGGTACTGGTTTGCTTTCTTAGCTGCCTTTTCAGTCTGCCTCGAACAACCGAGGTCATCTTGAACAATCACGCCGAGATCGCACTCGTGAGAAGCCTGCTGTAGAATTTGTTGTCCTAGGCGGTAGTTGTGCATACTCTTGTGCCGTATACAGAGAACTTTGCACTTGGTGACGTTGAATGCAGCATGTTGTCAATGGACCATGTGTACATTTTGTCCAGGTCCTCCTGTAAGACTATGTGATCCTCCACTGCAGCTATAGTGCGCCATACCTTTAGGTCCTTAGCAAATAGCAAACAGTTAGAAGATAGCACACTCGGGATGACATCCTTCCTATCTTTTGACCGGTACAGAGTACGTACTATTGGGAGGGATATCGCTTAGATGGTGCATTAGTTTTCAGGACGTTTCTGTAGATAACGGGTGTCCACTTAATAGTTCGCCGTTTTCCTATAAACCGTGCTATATAACCGAGTTGCATTGAGTTACACTTGTGAGATTTGTAGGAATCAAATCATCACTGATCCCAACTAGATATGATCTGAATGCGATTAGAATGATCCACTCGATACTCAGCATCAGTCCTAGTTGATACTACGAATATCAGTTAGAAAACCACCAAATGGTCAATGGTACAATGCCGAAAAAATTGCAGAAGCTTGACATGTTCAGCCAGATGATCGCTTAGGGGTGATCAGAATGAAGGCAAAAATAACAATAAGAAATTCTGAACAATCGCAAATTGCAACCTTGTCGGTCAAGGGTTTTATTCTGAGCAGTTCACGCTTGGTTTTTTGTATTTTCCGAGGTTATCATCTGTCGTTTGCAGGCGAAAATGGAAGTGGGTTGATTCGCTTTTGTTTTTCTGTTATTTGTTTGAGTTGTTTGGGTTACTTGACATGGTGTAGTACGACCAGTGCACTGTCGACACGTGCTTTGAACATGGCTAAAGTGGGGGGGGCTGAAATAACAGTTTCTGCGAGGGTATGCCATTTGTGGCAAACATGCAGCGAGAAAACGTTTCTTCGACCATCCAACCGACTGTATTGTTCTGCCAATTTGAGATGATGACCTCTCAGTTGGCTGTTATGACTCAACTTCAACTGGTGTTGGAGCGGGTGTTTAGTGTTACTTAAAATTTGGTCAACCTGCAAGCACCGATAGCTTCCGATGAATTTGCTTGGTACTCAGAGACGCTGTTCGTAGGAAAGTGGCTCATCCCCTTGAGAATTTTGGTCACCTGATGTTGCGAAATCTCCAAGGCCGTGACCGCCCGCTTTAGCCACGAGTGCCATGCTTGAATTCCATACTCAACCTGAGGGCGTAGGTACGCAGGAATTATTTGGCGGAAAATAGGCGGTTCGAATTGCCCGAAATCTCACAGTAAAAGCCCCACGATTTGGATTACCTACTTCGATGCTTTTTTGGACCGTTCCGAGTAGCTAACATCTTTCTGTATCAACACACCGAGATCCTTTTTAGAAAGAAGAGTGTTGCAGATCCTGCTCCCCCAGCTTAATTGTATAAACCAGTCGGTGTCTTAAATGGCGCATTTAACATTTTCCCACATTGAATAACAGGTGATTTTGCACCGACCACCTGTAAATTTTGTCACGGTCGATTCGAAGCTGGATACGGTCTTCTGGAGATCTGATCACTCGCCAAACTGTGACGTCATCAGCGTAGAGTAAACAGTTTGATTTAATTTGACTCACTAGATCATTTCTGAAGA